CTCATACAGTAGACAGACCTTAATGGCACTCATACAGTAGACAGACCTTAATCACACTCATACAGTAGACAGACCTTAATGGCACTCATACAGTAGACAGACCTTAATCACACTCATACAGTAGACAGACCTTAATGGCACTCATACAGTAGACAGACCTTAATCACATCATACAGTAGACAGACCTTAATGGCACTCATACAGTAGACAGACCTTAATCACATCATACAGTAGACAGCCCTTAAATCACACTCATACAGTAGACAGACCTTAATGACACTCATACAGTAGACAGACCTTAATGACACTCATACAGTAGACAGACCTTAATGGCACTCATACAGTACAGACCTTAATGACACTCATACAGTAGACAGACCTTAATGACACTCATAGAGTAGACAGATCTTAATGACACTCATACAGTAGACAGACCTTAATGACACTCATACAGTAGACAGACCTTAATGACACTCATACAGTAGACAAACCTTAATGACACTCATACAGTAGACAGACCTTAATGACACTCATACAGTAGACAGACCTTAATGACACTCATACAGTAGTCAGACCTTAATGACACTCATACAGTAGACAGACCATAATCACACTCATACAGTAGACAGACCATAATGACACTCATACAGTAGACAGACCTTAATGACACTCATACAGTAGACAGACCTTAATGACACTCATACAGTAGACAGACCTTAATGGCACTCATACATTAGACAGACCTTAATCACACTCATACAGTAGACAGACCTTAATGGCACTCATACAGTAGACAGACCTTAATGACACTCATACAGTAGACAGACCTTAATCACACTCATACAGTAGACAGACCTTAATGACACTCATACAGTAGACAGACCTTAATCACACTCATACAGTAGACAGACCTTAATGGCACTCATACAGTAGACAGACCTTAATCACACTCATACAGTAGACAGACCTTAATGGCACTCATACAGTAGACAGACCTTAATGACACTCATACAGTAGACAGACCTTAATGGCACTCATACATTAGACAGACCTTAATCACACTCATACAGTAGACAGACCTTAATGGCACTCTTTACAGTAGACAGCCCTTAATGACACTCATACAGTAGACAGACCTTAATCACACTCATACAGTAGACAGACCTTAATGACACTCATACAGTAGACATACCTTAATGGCACTCATACAGTAGACAGACCTTAATCACACTCATACAGTAGACAGACCTTAATGGCACTCATACAGTAGACAGACCTTAATGACACTCATACAGTAGACAGACCTTAATGGCACTCATACAGTAGACAGACCTTAATGACACTTATACAGTAACAGACCTAATGGCACTCATACAGTAGACAGACCTTAATGACACTCATACAGTAGACAGACCTTAATGGCACTCATACAGTAGACAGACCTTAATCACACTCATACAGTAGACAGATCTTAATGGCACTCATACAGTAGACAGACCTTAATGACACTCATACAGTAGACAGACCTTAATCACACTCATACAGTAGACAGACCTTAATGACACTCATACAGTAGACAGACCTTAATGGCACTCATACAGTAGACAGACCTTAATCACACTCATACAGTAGACAGACCTTAATGGCACTCATACAGTAGACAGACCTTAATCACACTCATACAGTAGACAGACCTTAATGGCACTCATACAGTAGACAGACCTTAATCACACTCTACAGTAGACAGACCTTAATGGCACTCATACAGTAGACAGACCTTAATCACACTCATACAGTAGACAGACCTTAATGGCACTCATACAGTAGACAGACCTTAATCACACTCATACAGTAGACAGACCTTAATCACACTCATACAGTAGACAGACCTTAATCACACTCATACAGTAGACAGACCTTAATCACACTCATACAGTAGACAGACCTTAATGACACTCATACAGTAGACAGACCTTAATGACACTCATACAGTAGACAGACCTTAATCGCACTCATACAGTACAGACCTTAATGACACTCATACAGTAGACAGACCTTAATGACACTCATAGAGTAGACAGATCTTAATGACACTCATACAGTAGACAGACCTTAATGACACTCATACAGTAGACAGACCTTAATGACACTCATACAGTAGACAGACCTTAATGACACTCATACAGTAGACAGACCTTAATGACACTCATACAGTAGACAGACCTTAATGACACTCATACAGTAGTCAGACCTTAATGACACTCATACAGTAGACAGACCATAATCACACTCATACAGTAGACAGACCATAATGACACTCATACAGTAGACAGACCTTAATGACACTCATACAGTAGACAGACCTTAATGACACTCATACAGTAGACAGACCTTAATGACACTCATACAGTAGACAGACCTAATGACACTCATACAGTAGACAGACCTTAATGACACTCATACAGTAGACAGACCTTAATGACACTCATACAGTAGACAGACCTTAATGGCACTCATACAGTAGACAGACCTTAATGACACTCATACAGTAGATATTCAGAAAAGAATTATCCCCACACCCAGGGTAAAGTTCCCTCCACACCCAGGGTAAAGTTCCCTACACACCCAGGGTAAAGTTCCCTCCACACCCATGGTAAAGTTCCCTACACACCCAGGGTAAAGTTCCCTACACACCCAGGGTAAAGTTCACTACACAACCAGGGTAAAGTTACCTACACACCCAGGGTAAAGTTCCCTACACACCCAGGGTAAAGTTCCCTCCACACCCATGGTAAAGTTCCCTACACACCCAGGGTAAAGTTCCCTCCACACCCCGAGTAAAGTTCCCTACTCACTCAGGGTAAGTTCACTACACACCCATGGTAAAGTTACCTACACACCCTGGGTAAAGTTACCTACACACCCAGGGTAAAGTTCACTAGACAACCAGGGTAAAGTTACCTACACACCCAGGGTAAAGTTACCTACATACCCAGGGTAAAGCTACCTACACACCCAGGGTAAAGTTCACTACACACCCAGGGTAAAGTTCCCTACACACCCAGGGTTAATTTACTTACACACCCAGGGTAAAGTTCACTACACAACCAGGGTAAAGTTACCTACACACCCAGGGTAAAGTTACCTACATACCCAGGGTAAAGCTACCTACACACCCAGGGTAAAGTTCACTACACACCCAGGGTAAAGTTCCCTACACACCCAGGGTAAAGTTCCCTGTACACCCAGGGTAAAGTTCACTACACACCCAGAGTACAGTTCCCTACACACCCAGGGTAAAGTTCACTACACACCCAGGGGAAAGTTCCCTCTGCACCCAGGGTAAAGTTCACTACACACCCAGGGTAAAGTTCCCTGTACACCCAGGGTAAAGTTCACTACATACCCAGGGTAAAGTTCCCTGTACACCCAGGGTAAAGTTCACTACACACCCAGGGTAAAGTTCCCTGTACACCCAGCGTAAAGTTTACTACACACCCAGGGTAAAGTTCCCTGTACACCCAGGGTAAAGTTCACTACACACCCAGGGTAGAGTTCCCTGTACACCCATTGTAAAGTTCACTACACACCCAGGGTAAAGTTCCCTGTACACCCAGGGTAAAGTTCACTACACACCCAGGGTAAAGTTCCCTGTACACCCAGCGTAAAGTTTACTACACACCCAGGGTAAAGTTCCCTGTACACCCAGGGTAAAGTTCACTCCCACACCCAGGGTAAAGTTCCCTGTACACCCATTGTAAAGTTCACTACACACCCAGGGTAAAGTTCCCTGTACACCCAGGGTAAAGTTCACTACACACCCAGGGTAAAGTTCCCTGTACACCCAGGGTAAAGTTCACTACACACCCAGGGTAAAGTTCCCTGTACACCCATTGTAAAGTTCACTACACACCCAGGGTAAAGTTCCCTGTACACCCAGGGTAAAGTTCACTACACACCCAGGGTAAAGTTCCCTGTACACCCAGCGTAAAGTTTACTACACACCCAGGGTAAAGTTCCCTGTACACCCAGGGTAAAGTTCACTACACACCCAGGGTAAAGTTCCCTGTACACCCATTGTAAAGTTCACTACACACCCAGGGTAAAGTTCCCTGTACACCCAGGGTAAAGTTCACTACACACCCCAGGGTAAAGTTCCCTGTACACCCATTGAAAAAGTTCACTACACACCCAGGGTCAAGTTCCCTGTACACCCAGGGTAAAGTTCACTACACACCCAGGGTAAAGTTCCCTGTACACCCAGAGTAAAGTTCACTACACACCCAGGGTAAAGTTCCCTGTACACACAGGGTAAAGTTCACTACACAACCAGGGTAAAGTTCTCTGTACACCCAGGGTAAAGTTCACTACACACCCAGGGTAAAGTTCCCTGTACACCCAGGGTAAAGTTCACTACACACCCAGGGTAAAGTTCCCTGTACACCCAGGGTAAAGTTCACTACACACCCAGGGTAAAGTTCACTACACACCCAGGGTAAAGTTCCCTGTACACCCAGAGTAAAGTTCCCTGTACACCCAGGGTAAAGTTCACTACACACCCAGGGTAAAGTTCCCTGTACACCCAGGGTAAAGTTCTCCCACTAAGAAACTTCAGGGTTTAATTAAGGGAAAATCTCTTCCGCTCTTCTCTCTTGACGAGAAGATTTAATCTTAAATCCTCAGCATCCTGTCTGAGAGTAGCATCACCCTCTCTCTCTCTCTCTCTCTCTCTCTCTCTCTCACTCTAACACACTCTCTCTCTCTCTCACACACTCTCTCACTCTCACACTCTCTAACACACTCTCTCTCACTCTCACACTCTCTAACACACTCTCTTATTATTATTATTATTAGTATTATTGATATTATTATTGTCACTGTTAATATTGTTATTAATATTATTTCTTTTATTATTTTGTCACTAATATTGCTATTAATTTTATAATAATCATTATTATTATTATCGTTGCTTTCCGAAGATTTATACTGAAATAACGCACCTGAGAATGTAACTCCAATATGACGAAAATCTCGTTGCAGCTCCTGAGCCTGGAAGGCAGAGGGCGTTCCCTCTTTGGATCGCAACACTGAGTCTCTGGAAGGAAGAAATACTTTACTAGTTCTGGAGTCCTTATTTTCGCAGCGATTTCGTCGCCTAACTCAGGGAAATAAATCTGGCATTCTTCCCTGACGATTCTATCATAGTTGGACATATTGATTCAGTGTATCGCAGAGCAGGTATCGTCTAACTGCTGCTTATGGTAGCGTGCAAGGCAGGATGGTCCTGGTAGGAGTGGAGGATGGGAGAGGAATGGAGGTAGTCAGTCCCTCAGTCTTGAAGAAGTAATTGTAAGGAGACCAGTCCCTCAGTCTTGAAGAAGTAATTGTAAGGTGACCAGTCCCTCAGTCTTGAAGAAGTAATTGTAAGGTGACCAGTCCCTCAGTCTTGAAGAAGTAATTGTAAGGTGATCAGTCCCTCAGTCTTGAAGAAGTAATTGTAAGGTGATCAGTCCCTCAGTCTTGAAGAAGTAATTGTAAGGTGATCAGTCCCTCAGTCTTGAAGAAGTAATTGTAAGGTGATCAGTCCCTCAGACTTAAAGAAGTAATTGTAAGGTGATCAGTCCCTCAGTCTTGAAGAAGTAATTGTAAGGTGATCAGTCCCTCAGACTTAAAGAAGTAATTGTAAGGTGATCAGTCCCTCAACCATGATAAGTGACCACCCCACAACCTCGATCAACAATTAAAAATAAGGAAAAAGATGGTGGAAGATCAAGAGACAACACAGACAAAAGATAGTGGAAGATCAAGAGACAACACAGACAAAAGATGGTGGAAGATCAAGAGACAACACAGACAAAAGATGGTGGAAGATCAAGAGACAACACAGACAAAAGAATGTGGAAGATCAAGAGACAACACAGACAAAAGATGGTGGAAGATCAAGAGACAACACAGACAAAAGAATGTGGAAGATCAAGAGACAACACAGACAAAAGATGGTGGAAGATCAAGAGACAACACAGACAAAAGATGGTGGAAGATCAAGAGACAACACAGACAAAAGATGGTGGAAGATCAAGAGACAACACAGACAAAAGATGGTGGAAGATCAAGAGACAACACAGACAAAAGATGGTGGAAGATCAAGAGACAACACAGACAAAAGATGGTGGAAAATCAAGAGACAACACAGACAAAAGATGGTGGAAGATCAAGAGACAACACAGACAAAAGATGCTGGAAGATCAAGAGACAACACAGACAAAAGATGGTGGAAGATCAAGAGACAACACAGACAAAAGATGGTGGAAGATCAAGAGACAACACAGACAAAAGATGGTGGAAGATCAAGAGACAACACAGACAAAAGATGGTGGAAGATCAAGAGACAACACAGACAAAAGATGGTGGAAGATCAAGAGACAACACAGACAAAAGATGGTGGAAAATCAAGAGACAACACAGACAAAAGATGGTGGAAGATCAAGAGACAACACAGACAAAAGATGGTGGAAGATCAAGAGACAACACAGACAAAAGATGGTAGAAGATCAAGAGACAACACAGACAAAAGATGGTGGAAGATCAAGAGACAACACAGACAAAAGATGGTGGAAGATCAAGAGACAACACAGACAAAAGATGGTGGAAGATCAAGAGACAACACAGACAAAAGATGGTGGAAGATCAAGAGACAACACAGACAAAAGATGGTGGAAGATCAAGAGACAACACAGACAAAAGATGGTGGAAGATCAAGAGACAACACAGACAAAAGATGGTGGAAGATCAAGAGACAACACAGACAAAAGATGGTGGAAGATCAAGAGACAACACAGACAAAAGATGGTGGAAGATCAAGAGACAACACAGACAAAAGATGGTGGAAGATCAAGAGACAACACAGACAAAAGATGGTGGAAGATCAAGAGACAACACAGACAAAAGATGGTGGAAGATCAAGAGACAACACAGACAAAAGATGGTGGAAGATCAAGAGACAACACAGACAAAAGATGGTGGAAGATCAAGAGACAACACAGACAAAAGATGGTGGAAGATCAAGAACAACACAGACAAAAGATGGTGGAAGATCAAGAGACAACACAGACAAAAGATGGTGGAAGATCAAGAGACAACACAGACAAAAGATGGTGGAAGATCAAGAGACAACACAGACAAAAGATGGTGGAAAATCAAGAGACAACACAGACAAAAGATGGTGGAAGATCAAGAGACAACATAGACAAAAGATGGTGGAAGATCAAGAGACAACACAGACAAAAGATGGTGGAAGATCAAGAGACAACACAGACAAAAGATGGTGGAAGATCAAGAGACAACATAGACAAAAGATGGTGGAAGATCAAGAGACAACACAGACAAAAGATGGTGGAAGATCAAGAGAACAACACAGACAAAAGATGGTGGAAAATCAAGAGACAACACAGACAAAAGATGGTGGAAGATCAAGAGACAACATAGACAAAAGATGGTGGAAGATCAAGAGACAACACAGACAAAAGATGGTGGAAGATCAAGAGACAACACAGACAAAAGATGGTGGAAGATCAAGAGACAACACAGACAAAAGATGGTGGAAGATCAAGAGACAACACAGACAAAAGATGGTGGAAGATCAAGAGACAACACAGACAAAAGATGGTGGAAGATCAAGAGACAACACAGACAAAAGATGGTGGAAGATCAAGAGACAACACAGACAAAAGATGGTGGAAGATCAAGAGACAACACAGACAAAAGATGGTGGAAGATCAAGAGACAACAGACAAAAGATGGTGGAAGATCAAGAGACAACACAGACAAAAGTCAGTTAGGTTAAAATATATACATCATTAACAACCAATATAACAACAGCACCAAAGTTCTCTACACTTCGCTTCTTGTCCAAGAGTGACACAAGTGTCACTCAAGATTAACATAGTAGGGGTTAAGCAGCGAGCACAATAAGAGAACACTGTATCAACATCCATGGTCACAATAAGACGTATGTGGAGAAATTTTCTCCAAGGGGACTAAGCCCCCCTTTAAGTTCCTACTCTGGCAGTATAGGTGTGAGCTAAGGAGTCACAACCACTTCTTTCCATCAGCAGAGATGAAGCAAGATAAAGCTCTGGAGAGCGAAACGTTGCCACAATAAAATGTCACATTAGTTGCACTTGTGTCCTTTTACATTACATATTGTCAGTAATTCTACCAACTTCATTACAAGATCACATCTCTTGCAACAAAGTCTCATTAAAACCGCACCACATATCACAACATCTATATATCTTAGCATGTGTCACGTTCTTAGATGGAGTGATGTTGACTGAAACACTCTACACTATGTTATACAGTGATATATTGAGTAACTTCTAACCTTAAGCCACATGTGCGGGTCATACGTGCTTCTGTGACATCATTGACAGAAAGTATTTGGACTATAATGACATAGCAAGTATCTAAACTATGCTGGCATGTATCCTTTACTCTGCAGATTTAGACTCTTACTAAATTGGGAGCAGATCAAGAGTACAGAATAGACACTGATATTGCATGTGTACAACAAGCACTCTTGTGGATAATCTGCTATATAATATAATCATGTGTTTTCTGAGCATTAAAACCACTAAATATTCAAAATATATGTCTCACCCTAGTAATATAGCTGTGGCATTCATACCGAATAACCTGCCTTTGATTTCAAGGAATCCGCACTTTTGATTCAATAAATCACAGAGCTGACATCTATGCTGTAGAATGTGTAGAGAAATAAGTATAAATAGAGGTGATGGAGGCTCCTGAGGAGATTGTGACTACGTTGTGACCATTATGATGTAGTTATAGTGTCATGCGAGGCACACCGCTTGAAACAAATTGGCTGAATCCGTGTGTACTTCATGAAACACCGTGTGTACTTCATGAAACACCGTGTGTACTTCATGAAACACCGCGTGTACTTCATGAAACACCGTGTGTACTTCATGAAACACCGTGTGTACTTCATGAAACACCGCGTGTACTTCATGAAACACCGTGTGTACTTCATGAAACACCGTGTGTACTTCATGAAACACCGCGTGTACTTCATGAAACACCGTGTGTACTTCATGAAACACCGTGTGTACTTCATGAAACACCGTGTGTACTTCATGAAACACCGCGTGTACTTCATGAAACACCGTGTGTACTTCATGAAACACCGTGTGTACTTCATGAAACACCGTGTGTACTTCATGAAACACCGTGTGTACTTCATGAAACACCGTGCGTACTTCATGAAATACCGTGTGTACTTCATGAAACACCGTGTGTACTTCATGAAACACCGCGTGTACTTCATGAAACACCGCGTGTACTTCATGAAACACCGTGTGTACTTCATGAAACACCGTGTGTACTTCATGAAACACCGTGTGTACTTCATGAAACACCGCGTGTACTTCATGAAACACCGTGTGTACTTCATGAAACACCGTGTGTACTTCATGAAACACCGTGTGTACTTCATGAAACACCGTGTGTACTTCATGAAACACCGTGCGTACTTCATGAAATACCGTGTGTACTTCATGAAACACCGTGTGTACTTCATGAAACACTGTGTGTACTTCATGAAATACCGTGTGTACTTCATGAAACACCGTGTGTACTTCATGAAACACCGTGTGTACTTCATGAAATACCGTGTGTACTTCATGAAACACCGTGTGTACTTCATGAAACACCGTGTGTACTTCATGAAATACCGTGTGTACTTCATGTAACACCGTGTGTACTTCATGAAACACCGTGTGTACTTCATGAAACACCGTGTACTTCATGAAACACCGTGTGTACTCATGAAAACCGTGTGTACTTCATGAAACACCGTGTGTACTTCATGAAACACCGTGTGTACTTCATGAACACCGTGTGTACTTCATGAAATACCGTGTGTACTTCATGAAACACCGTGTGTACTTCATGAAACACCGTGTGTACTTCATGAAATACCGTGTGTACTTCATGAAACACCGTGTGTACTTCATGAAATACAGTGTGTTCTTCATGAAACACCGTGTGTATTTCATGAAACACCGTGTGTACTTC